AATATTTGTTACTTCATTAAATTACAATGGAGGACTGGAATCTGTAACACCCGTAATTTATTTTTTAGGGATTAAAAATTAATAAATATAAATTTTTATTATTTTATTTTATTTTTATTTTATTTAAAATAAAAATATGAAATAAAATATAAAGAGAATTTAATTGAAAATAATTTTGAAAAAAATGGTGAAAATTTAGGTTATGCAGATATTTTTAAAAGAAAAATCGAAAAATAAGGACCAAAACGTAATTTTAGAAAGTTTTACCACGTCAGACACTGAGTCAGCAACCCTGACCAACCAAGACGCGCCAAGTGGCAGAGGAGCTGACGCGGGAGGCCACGCTGGGGGGCCACGTGGACAATCCGTGTGCGTATGATCGAACGGCTGAGGTCCGTTTCCGCACGCACGGACGACCTGGATGCACTCTCTCCCAAACATAATCGAACGACCAGATTCAAAAGCGATCGGACGGCTCAGAGTGAATCGTGATGGACGGTCCAGATTGGATCGCGATGGACGGTTCAGATTGGATCGCGATGAACGATCCAGATTCACTATTTATTTAATCGCGATCGGACGGTTCATATCAAACGCGATGGACGACTCAGATCAAAAGTAAATGGGTATAAATAACCCTCATCCGTACTAAACCCTAACCTTAGCCGCCAGAATCCCTCACCGGAGAAGACAACCCAGCGCCGGAGAGGAGACCGCTGCCACCCGCCGCAGCACTGGAACCCTTTTCGACCGCCAGAAAAGGTAAAAACTTTTTTTTTTTGTACGAAATTCAATTTTAAGCTCACTCATGGCCAAATCGGAGTGAAAAGATCGGTCAATTGACTAAAAAACACCAGCAAAGCCTGGTGGCACTGCCACGGGGAATTTCACAAAACACCTCCGATGAAGCCCTTCCCGATTTCGGTTTCGCGTAATTTTTCCACCGTTTTCTTCTCTACAGGTTGACTGAAGTGAAACACCTAACCGCAACATGAGTTGGAGAAGCTGCCGCACTAAAGAGCCCCGCTGCCCGTGAGTTTCGATTTTTCGTATTTTTCGTATTTTTCGGCCAACCGAAACTCTTTAACGTGTTTGCTTACAGGAATCGATGCAAAATCAGCTGAATTCGGCTGAAAACAGCTGACCCAAGGCAGACTGCCACCGCAGGCGGCTGGACAGTCGCCGGAGCACGGCGGAGCTGCCGTACCAGATTTTTGAAATTGGTCGAGTGGGTCCTGAGACTGATTTTAGATTTATTTGGAACATTTATAGGTATTATAGGTGCGTTTTAGTGTCCGGAAAAAAAAATCAGGGAATCCAGGGATTGCTTGTAAGCGCAGTAAACCATTTAACTATTCGGTGTTAAATCGAGTAAGGATCATTCACTCTATTCTCTATCATAGAACTGAAGTTTAAATAAATAATAATGTGATATTTTGTGTGATTTTAGTAAACATGCATAATTAATTACGGGTTGCTAATGGATCCGGAACCGAAAATTATCTACTGCTGTTGTTGATTGTTTTACAGTTTACTTGCATGATGGTATCTTATTTATTTATTTTATGCCTTTGAACGCATGTATAGTTTATTTTACATGTTTACTACTGAATAGGAAAAAATAAAGTTTAAACGGTAAAGTTTATGATTAAATAATTAGATAAAAAGGCAGTCTTACTAGATATCATAGGAGATGGCGGACGGATCGGGTACATAGAGAACTCTACCGCGAACGTTGTCTCATATCAGACGGGGTATAGAGACTGAATAATTTGGTGTTCATACTAGACGGGATATGGGGACGACCCGCTTCATCCTCATACTGGACAGGGTATTGAAATTTAATATTTTGGTGCTCATACCGGACGGAGTATGGGGACAACCCTGTAATTGAGATTGTTAAAGGAAAGGATTCACGTGTAGTAGAGACATCCCTATGAACCCGTATAGATACGAGTAGGCTGGTGAAAAGAGAAACAGTTATGTTTTGGTTTATTGTTAATGGATATGGATTTATAATACGTTTTATGTTACTGATGGTTCATGAAATTATAATATGTATGATATTATTATTTTTTTTATAGGTTGTTTTAATAAATTTTACTATGATAAGTGAACGAGAAATGATTTTATGATTGATAAATAAATTTACTAAATTTAATGCTCAATTAATAGTTGTTAATTTTATACCAATTTTTACTTTTGTACTGGTGATATAGTGCGATATCCTTACTGAGCTAGTGTAGCTCATTCTTTATTTAACAATTTCAGATTGAGAGGACTTGGTTTCAGAACCCAATCCGCAAGAAGATTGTGAGTAGATGTTAGATATTTTTTATTTTTCATTTATTTCCTCATTTTTCGTGTTTCTTTCAGAGAATTAATTTTGTAATGTTGTTTAGTACTTTTAAGTTATTGTGTAAGTAATGTAAATCTTAACATTTTATTTCACTTCCGTACTTAAATTATTATATATTTTCTTTTGAATTTTTGGGGTTGTTATAGAATCATTATATAAATTTTTCATTACGGTATGATTACATTGTGAGAGATCTTACATACATATAATACTGTACATGCTTATAAATTTTGATATCTCAGGAGAATTTTCTGAGTATTCTAGATAATTAAAGTATTTTTTGACATTTTACGCACTTATAAGCAATTACCTATACTTGTGATATCTATAAGTATGCTAAGTATTTTAAGTTTCATATGACATTTATAAGTATTTTGGATACTTGTAAGATTTTTGATAATTTCATCATACATAGGAATATTTTTAGGTATTTTAAAAATTTCTAAATTGAATGTTTTAGAATACAAGATATTATGAGTAGTTTCAACTTTTAAATGATATTCGTAGGTGTTTCGAATATATAAGAGTATTTTAGAATTCTTGGTATTTTGAATATTCAAGATTATTTCTGAATATTATTGAAAATATTTTTATGCATTTTGGGTACTTGCGGAATTTTATATAATAATTTTTAAAAAGAAAAAACTATGTTAACATATTTATAGTGTTTTTGGATATTCTGAAGTAATTATCTATATTTTTTATATTTTAAAGATTTATAAATCACGTTAAAGATTTATAAGTTTCGGGGGCATTTTTTATTTTTTCCAAACAACTCAAAACTAAAATAAAAAAAGTTAGTTTTAATTTATAAGTTTTTATATGATATTTTAATAGATAAGTTGAAGTAACAACTACAAAAACAAAAATAAAAACAAGAACAAAGAATTGAACAGAAACTTGGCATACAATATAAAAAAAAACATGTATCGATCACTCAATGACATAATTTTTTCTTGATAAGTAAAAATAATTTTATTAGAGAATCAAAATTGATATATACCATGACAGAAATATTCAATAAAAACAACTACTACATTTATCAAATAAGGGTTTTATAAATCTTGAGAAAGTAAATTATGTATTTCATGTATTGTGTTATATATTAATTTTTCATATTTCGAGGACACGTTTGAGTCCCAATAAACGCCTCATTTTTAAGTGGATCCTCATCAAATATCCTTCGCTTTATTACACCATCATCATGTTTCTATTTTCTTCTACATATATATATATATATATATATATATATATATATATATAGACACACACACACACACCACCCACAGAAATATTATTCTATTTTCTCTTGTAGAGCTCTACGTAAACGAACATATATATATATATGTATGTATGTATGTATGTATGTAAATGAATATGTGGAAATACAAAGTTGGCTGTACTGTATGTGTTTCAGGATACGACACGTTTGGAATTTTCTCTGATATTGGCACACGTAGACTTTAAATCATTGGCCACATATTAGTTGTCCAGACACCAAGAACACCTGTTGGAATTTTTTTTCAGGTTCTTTTGGCTTAAAAATGACAGAAACTAATACCCGAATAATTACAAGGTTAAAGTCTGCTTGTGAAGACTCGTGTATTTGAATGTATTTCTTAAATATTATATCAATATTTGTAATTAATTTTATGATATAATTCAATATAATATAAATAATAAATTTTAATAAATGCTACTTTTACTTTTTTAATTTAAAAATATTTTTATTGAAAATAATTTTTACCACATCATGACAAATATAAGTATTAATTGCATCAAACAAATGTAACTCGAATACTATTTATTTAGAAACTTTATTTTAAATGATAAATATGCATTATAATATACACGTAAGAGTTCTTAATCTTGATCAACGTACGGGAAGTTCAAAATCATTATATGCATAAATAGAAATTAATCATGTCAAATGTGAATATTAGTATTTTTTTTAAAAAAAAAGTACTTAAAAGTTAGAAAAAAATATATATATATATAAAATAAACAGATTGAGAAAAAGTAATTAAGGAAATTAATAATCATTTAACACAAGAAGATAATTGCAGACGCTAATAAACAGGTGAAGGTGAATAATTAATTACGCGTCTTAATAACTATGTTGTTTGTCAACTAATTCGGCACATGATACACGCATACTTATATTTAATAAAATATTGTATATATTCATTTATAATGTGATAAAAATTCATTCATTATAACAAAATAAAAATAAATTCTACAATAATATATATTATTTAAAATATGTTCTACTATTAAAATGATTGATAAATATTTATTTAAATATGTTTATATAAGCTACATATTGATTTATAAGTTTATTTCATTTCAATTACTAATTTATTTCACCAAAAGTACACATACAATTTTCACTTAACCTTTTGTGAGAATTTGTAAATTCTATATTTATGATTAAAAAGTTGTGAATATGATAAATGTGTTTGTATTATCTAATTATATAATTTTACTAAATAAATAATTAAATTG